CACAGCACTCCTACTAATGTCTCCAAGGAACAAGGCATTTCCTCCAGTGCCACGTCCAGCCACGGCTCTGGGGCCCAAGTCCACAAAATCCGGTGTCTCCGGAAAACCTTCATTCCAGGTCTGGACTTCCGCCATCACCCAGGGGTCAACGGAAGACGACCATCACAACCACAAGTCCACCTGGCGTCCACTTCACACTACCCGACTTGGTCACAGCTATCAGCTCTGTCGGGAGGCAAGGACCCTCGGCTGGGAGCCAGAGATGGCCTCGTCAAGGTCACCTCACGAGCATTAGGGGGCCTGGGAAAGTTCAGGGGCCAATCTCTCTGGTGCAGAACCAGGGCTCTGGTCTCCTCCCTGCTGCCCTCTTCGCTCCCGCCACTCGGCCTGCTCCTGCTTCTCGCATGTCACGGGGAGCTGTTCCTCCACTTCTCTGCCCCCGCTGACTCTTCCCCTCCTCACCCGGGCTGGTGAAAGACCACAAGAATGCGGCCACCAACTCAGGGGCAGAGCAACCTCACCTCGTCTTCTGAGCAGGTGCCTGCTGCGATTCCTGGGCCACCGCTAAGAGATACACAGGCCACACGGAGCCATTCTCACATTCCTCAGAACATGGCGGCAACCCACGGTGGGCGACCGCAAACTTCTGGAATGACTTCACGACTCTTGCTGGGCTACCTGCAGGCACAAGAAATCAATCCACAGTAGCGCTCTCCCCGTGGGGGCTGGGGAGCGAGTTTCCCCACACCACTGGCCTTCCACAGCACCGGAGGAGCGGGTCAACACGCCGGCCGTCCAGCAGCCGTGGGCTCAACGAGGTCACACCACAGAAGGACACCAGTTCGGCTTGGGGGGGGCAAGACTGTCCATGCTCAGGGCCCACCAGCATTGGTTCACTCAGTCTCGCACACAGGATCTCATCCAGCGCCACGTCCACCAACAGCCTGCCTAGAGGCACTTGGGCCACAGCACCCGACATCTCCGCAGAAACCATTGGGCCGCGGGCGGACTCCGCCCATCACACCTTGGCCTCAGTGGGAGTGGCCAACACCAGGCCCAACAGGGTTCCTCTGGGTCCACTTACAGGCTACCCCACTGACACGGCGCACACACTTCCAAGTGAGGCAAGGCATCAGCTGGGAGCAGGGTTGGCTCACTCAGAGGGGGGGGCCACAATCACCATGCAGGGGGCCGGGGAGGGTGTCAGGGGCCACAACTCCTTCTGTGGAGAAAACAGCTCGGTTCTCCTCCCTGCCTGGGCCCCTTTCCTCCCATGGTCTCACCTGTTCCTGCTTCCATCATGGCACCCGAGGCTGCTCCCTCCACTTCTCTGCCCGGCTGACTTCTTCCCTTCCTCACCGCGGGTCGCTGAAGACCACCCATTGGGTGGCACATGAGCTCAGAACTGAAATTCACTTTACACTTTTCTCAGGCACAGTTTGATTACATTCGACATCCTCATGTCACCACCATCATTCTGGGGGAGCTTCCTTGTTCTTCAACACAACAATGGACCACTGTGTCTCTTCCTCCCATTATCAAATCTATCCACTGTCTAGCTGCAGCTCTGAGACAACAGCCCTCTCCCATGGACACACCCACACCTTTTGGGAAGAAACCATCTTTATCGTCAAGTCTGCCTGTTGGAGACTAAGAGCATTTGATGGGGGGACTTCTTCCTCAACCGACCGCTGCGATTTTAGAGAGTCAAGTATCCGTTCAAGGGAGACCAGCTTAGTCAAGTTGGTCCTGGGAGTTGTCTCGGGCCAAGCCTTCCCTTCGCTTCACAAGAACACATTCTCATCTTCTCTGATGTTTTCCTGCTCCAACTCACATTCTCTCTTTCCCTCCACATTATCATGGTTCCCTTTCCCCTGTTACTTCTCTTATCACATGGCCTGGTGGGAGGCTCCGGGATGTGGTTGGGCCACAGGCTAGAACCTGAAAACCATCTTCAGCGTAAATTTGATCAGCAGCCCAGCGAAAACGCCACATCTGAAAGTCACTAGACAGGAGAAAATCATCTTTTCAAACACAGCAGTGCCAAGTTGTGGCGCAGTTCTGGACAGGAACTTCTTCGATCTGTTCCCAGTCCACTGCTGGGCGTATCGTATATTCATATCCAAAAAACTCAGCTACTGACGACGTTCAGGGTGCACTGCCATTCAACAGCAACGCCTTGGGCCGTTTTCCAGACCACAGAGAGTGTTTGAGTTGGGCAACGCTGACCCGGTGCTTTAAGTTCCTCCACGTTCAACACAGTTGACAAGTAAGGGACCAATCCCTACAATTCCTTCTGTTATCTCTTAGGAAATGCCCTTTTCCTAAGAGGTTACAAAAAAGGGGGGAGTTATGAGTTTATTCCTGTACACTATTTCTTTTGCAAAATTTGTGGGTCTACTTCAGTTCAGGCACTGGGCTAAGCACTGGGGGAACAAGAGTAAATAAGCAAGTAGTTGAATCATATAGTATCTTGATAGGGTGCTTAGTATTACTACTGTGGATGATGATGACAATAATAATATTCGTACAGCAAATATTTAGTACGCACTTCTTATGTGCCAAATGTGCTTTATTAGTTTATTTGATAACTCTTGTACATATTTAGAATATTATTAAGCCTTTTTGGGATTTGGTGAAGAAATTCAGACAGAGAGTTAAATGATTTTCTTTGGATCATTAAAAGCTTAGCAAGTAAAGGATAGTGTAAAACCATGGTCAGTTAGAATCCCTGCCTCCTAAGACATAAGGAGAGTGGCATGAGAAGCCAGCAGGAAAAAAGGTTCTACATCGTAAGGGTGCCATAGGTGGCAGGGGAAGTTCAGGGAAGGGGGAAAGGGTACAATCTGGGTCAAATACTGCAGAAGCGCCAATGTTAAAAATGAGTGAGAGTGCCTGTTGGCAAACATAGGGGTCTCTTGAGGCATTGTAGCTAATGGGGTACAGTGGAGGTTCGGGGCACTAAAAAACATGCTGGGCGCAGGTGGTCATGCCTGTAATCCGAGCATTGGGGGAGCCGAGGGTGGATTGTCGAGGGTGAGGAATTTGAAACAGCCAAGGCGGGAACACTTGTTCTAATAAAATTAGAAAGAAATTAATTGGCAACTAAGTTATATAGGAAAAAATTGGACGGGCTGGGTGGCGCATGGGCCTGTAGTCCAGTATTTGGCGGGTCCGTGGAGGCGACGGCAGTTAGGATGTTTGAGCCCAGGAGTTTGAGTTGTGTGGTTAGGGCTGGGACGCCACGGGACTCACCTAGCTTTGGGCACCAAAGCGAGACCCTGTCTACAAAAAACAAACCAAAACAAAAAAAACCAGTATATAATCATGATGGGAGGAAGTGCTTCACCCTTTGAATTGAGTATGTTTCTTTGATGAAAACAAGGGGGTCAGAGCAAAGGATAAGTAAAGAAAAGAGTGGAGTGAATGAAAATTAGGAACCAAGTTCATGAAATAGGCAAGAGGACAGGACCCTCAGGAAGGGAGAAACACTATTCAAGACATAGCAGATGGAGGGGGAGAAG